CCGCCATACTGTTTAACCTAATCACCTCATACGCGCCCTTGGAGGTTACAGTAGCGCTTCGGGTAAGCTTTGTCGCAGCCCACGCACCATTTGATCGACTTGTCTTTAGGAAACCGTACGCCAGTTGCGCACGTTGGAGGAACGCGTCGAGTACTTACACGACATGATACCCGAAGGCATTCCGCATTCGAAAAAATACCAAAAGCAAGTGGCCATCGCCGTCTGTGCGAGAATGAAAGCTCTATATAATTACGAGGCAAACTTTCCAAAGCTGAAGTCGGAGGTGACGCTGATCAAGCCGATCGATTCGCCTTTCGTAAACTACGACGAGGACTACGGACTGCAGAAGTTGTGCGAGGAACCCGTTCGAGTTCATACGATCGAAGGGACCCACGCGACCATCGTGCAGAATCCCGAACTTGCCGACTATATCAATAAGATAATCAACAATTAATAAAGAGTAGTGGTTCAATTGTCGTTCTCTTTCCAAATGACCCACCGATACTCCATCAATTATTTGTAAAGGCAGTCTGTTAGACAATACAACCAAATTATCGTGATAGAAGAACACGTAAGTGCCCGTAACGGCGTAACCGTGTTAGGGATCTTCGAGAAGCATATTTTGGCATAATTGACCGATTAGCTTAATTTTAATTATATATCTCTAATTCAATTAATGAATTTAATTGAAAAGAATTTACCTTGTAGTGAAGTTTCGCACGAAGTATAATTAACAAATGTTTCTAACCTGCACATTTCTACTCAATCGGCGTCAACAATATTGCTTTGAGGTACTTATGTACCTAATTTGAGATAACTCGAATATCGCTCTAAACAACATTCATTCCGCTTGTGTCTAGAGTAGGGTATAGTCAGTATTTCAGAAAAATCACTTTTTTTTTTATTGAGATTAATGTGCCTCAGCATATCAGAGGCCATTGACACAGATACAGTTGTGTATAGGTTTATAGGCTAATGGTCAATTACATTATATTTATGTTTGAGAGAGTAGAGCTATATCTAAACAGCTGAAGCAAGGTGATATGATATTTTATCTAGTATCATCTGATAGTCATTTGTCGTTATTGTCAAAGTTCATTGAATTGTCTAGTTGATTTCTTTAAGCTAATAAAAGCCATATTTCCAGTGGTTACAAATATTATATCACAAGGGTTCATATTTTGGAGCTGTAATCGATGTAATTTAGATATCTGAGAACTCTGGTTCGGTGAGTTGAGTGCTTCATCCAGGGTGTTTGAGAGACCAAGCTGACTTCTTGTGTGTGAGTGAAGCTGACATTCCATTAGAAGATGTTTGACGGATAACGCGCTGTTGCAGTGATGACATACAGGTGGAGGTTCTGAATTCATCAAGTGTCTGTGTGTGAGATTTGTGTGTCCAATTCGAAGTCTTCGAATGATTATTTTATCTCTTCTTGTTAATGGAGGGAGGTGAAAAGGCTTGACAGATTTCCGTATCTCGTATAGCTTAGACGGGATTCTGGACCAGTGTTCTTGCCAAGTTAGGTGGATCTTATCCTTGAAGAAGTTTTTCAGATCTTTGTATAATTGGATTCCTTCGGTAGGGAGGTTTGCTATTGATGCTTCTTTTGCTGCACAATCTCCTAGTTCGTTCCCACCAGTAATGCCGACGTGGGAGGGAACCCATAGTAGGGTTACGTTTACTCGTACAGAGAGAAGCTGCTGACAGCGTTCGTGTATAGACTGGACTAAGGGATGTGAACTGTAGATGTTTTGAATGGATTTGGTTGAGGCGGAAGAATCAGTACATATTGCAACTGTTTTGGGGTCCTGAGTTAAAGAGTTGCACGCTTGGAGTATAGCAAATAATTCTCCAGTATGAATACTGCAAAAGGCAGAGAGGGCGTTTGAGGAAACAGTTGTATGGGAGAGAGAAACTGAGCATCCCACCAAAGAACGAATAGGTTGCGATTTCAGGTTTTCTGTATACTCCAAAGGTAAAGACGTATTAAAACCTTCAGTGAGCTGAACAGGGGCCTATTTCATAAAGCAAAATGTAATTTACATAATCAACCAGCTCATAAATCATGTGCCTCGTATTCAATTGAAATAATAAACAATGAATACTTGATTAGACCTTGTTAATTGCAAATGTTATTCGTATACAGAGTGGTGTTTTTAAGTGAACCATTAAAAGTATCTCAGGAACGGTTTGGAATTTGATTCGGGGCTCATTACCTATTTTGAATAATCGATCAAAAGCAATCATTTATAAATTTATTTAAATATTTCGGGCCGCTTTTTTTTTAATTTTGCAATTTTTTATCCGTTTTCCTTATTGGATGTTCCTCAAAACCGTTTAACGCGTTGGCAGCTCATTCAGCAGAGCATTCAAAGCTTTTGGAAGCAATGGAGCTCATCATATTTGCAATCTTTGATGCAACGAACCAAGTGGACCAATCCGGCACCCATTATTAATGTTGGAGATACCGTTCTTCTTAAAGGGATGACATCATCTCCTTTAAATTGGCCTATTGGTCGAATCATGACATTATGTCCTGGTAGAGACGGCATCTCGCGTATTGCCAAGATTAAGGTCTCTAACACTATTTTAACGCGCCCTCTTACGTCGCTAATACGTTTTCCCATTGAGCAGTGAGGAAAACGCGAAAACTATAATTTGTTTTTTTTTGTAAATATTTCAGTAAAAAATGTTTCATTGTTTCATTTTTTGGTGGGCGGTTTTGTTAATGAATGAGCAATTTAAACTTGCCGCGTTTTTGTTACTTTCGTTTCAATGCTTTCAAATACAATTTTAGTTACCTGCGCATAACTAATGCGTGCACAGAATGATAGATAATTTTTTGATTTCAATTATTCGCATAGAGAGTTAAGTAAAAGCAAGCAGAACAGTTAAAACGTTTAGTTCTTTTAGGTGATTGGGGTGAGTTTTCCTTGTGTCCTTTCCTTCGCCACCCCATTCACAATTTCAAACAAGTTTACACCGATTCGCCGAAAAACTAAAGGTAAGATTTACTTAAGATACAGTCCGCTCATTTACACATAGTAAAGATATGGTTTCCATTTGAAAATTTCGAGTTTTTGACCAAAACCCGATTGTCAACGTTGAACGTTTATTCGTATTATTTTCGAACCACATTTGAAAATCAGACCAATAACATTTGATAGCTGTCCATTCGCTAAGTTGTCAGACAACAGTGATATGGCTAATTTAGTGAACATCTGAAACTATGAAAAAACGTCAAATAATTTCGAAACCATGTCAGTTAGACACAGCATCATATTAACAAAATCATACTGATTTTTTATGAGGGATCCAAAAATACCATCAGAAAAGATAGTGCCATTTGAAATAAGAAAGTTTCGCTATCGTTCTGTTGCAAACGGAAAAACGGCCATCTTGAAAATATTTTTAAAAGATTCCTTTTGGTTTGATTATTTAAACAATAACAGATCTTGTCGAAGGCTACTACATTCACTAACCGTTTCCCACTTTCCGCGTGCACCCGCAATTCGCTTTTAAAGTTAAAATCGTGTCGGAGGCTACCACATTCCCTTTGACGGTAGCCACTTCCGACGTCCCGTTCACCCACCCGCAATTCGCTTCTATTGGCGACACGAGAAAGAGAGACAGCGATTCGAGATTTACGAAACGTTAAACCGCGTGAGTTCGCAACGGAAGGTAAAAGGCGCCCGAAGTTGACTACTTCTCGAAGACGCGCGCGCGCGCCTCGCAAAACGTCGTTAATTTCGCCCCTAGGACAAAAAACAAAATTCCGCCACGCAGGAGTTGTGCGCGTTTACAACATCTTTCCGACGACACCAATTTCAAAAGAATCGGACCAAAACTGTAGTAGAAGATAGGAAAAAACTGAAAAACCTTCACGTTAGTTTACTACGCTCGAGGATGACGCCCAGATGTCGCCAACCCCACATCATGTAGCCATGTCCCTAAGGTTGACAAATTTCACGGCCCTGTAGATACACGTACACCCGTTGCCTTTCTACAAGAGTTCTTCTACGCGCCCACATTTGCAGCCAGCCAGCCAGCCAGCCAGCCAAAGTGAGATTAAAAGCTACTTTTTACAAATAAATTTGCAAAAATGCGCTAAAAAGGTAATGGATCCCGATTCGAAATGCCAAACCGTTCCTGAAATACCTACTTCTAATGGTCCACTTAAAAACACCACCCTGTATAGCGAATAGATTTCACCTACTGTCGCATAGATTGACCCATGATGCCAAACTCAAGATTTTGGGGAGAACTTTGTCCTCGTCGGTGGAAAGCAAAAATTGCAGAATGACAAGGATAGAATGCAATGCTGTGATCGAACTAAACCCTAAAATTTCCACTTCATTAAATATTGTATGCGCAGACAATGGTGGTTAAAGGTTAATACTGGCTCCCTACATTGACATTGGGGGTTTTGCATAATTTTCTCACTTTGTATTTAAAAGTGGGCTTCGATTCGTTAGGTTTATTTGCCATTTAGCAATTGTGGTAAAAATGGTTTTGGAAAAAGATGGAGGATTCGCACTCGCCCATCCCTTGCAAGGCGAGGAGGTCGTCATTACCGGTAAGTGAGTTTTGATGGTGATCAGGCTGATGGTGTTTAACGAATAGGGATGTCTGGACGTTTTCCCGAGTCGGACGACATCTATCAGTACAGGAGTTGATATGGTCATCAGTGATCATGGTCGCTGGTTATCGACCAACCCAGAGATACCCCCGCGTATCGGTAAAATTAATCACCTCGAGAAGCTGGACGCTGGTCAATTTGGTATGGCATCGACCCGTAGCTGGGCGTAGGTCTCATCGTGAGTGTTGCAGATTTGCATTACCACGAAGCCAACCAGATGGATCCCATGATCAAGATTTCCTTGGAGAAGGCGTACGAGGCGATCGTTGATGCAGGTTACAACGTAAACGAGTTGGAAGGTGCGAACTGCGGTGTCTTCATGGGGTGCTGCTTTTCGGAAACCGAGGAGGCGGTGATCATGGGAACGAATACCAGTCCAAACTTTGGCCTGACGGGGTATGTAATCATTTCCATTAGCATAACCTTCAATCACCTCCTCGCACGTTATATTCTTCTGATACAGGATTTCTCACCTAACCTAACTGTGCGAGGAGGTGATTAAAGGTTATGTTAAGGTATGATTGAGGTTAGGTTAGCGTGCTAGTTAAGTTAGGTGAGAAATCTTGTATCAGAAGAATATAATGCGCGAGGAGATTGAAGCATTAGTGAGGTTAGGTTAGAGTACTAGTTAGGTTCGGTTATGGTATTCCTCCCAGTGATAAGTTCAGTCTTAAAACGTTCATCCCTAAGGACTCTTCCCTCTCCAAGTAACTCCGCAGGAAAAAGGGAAGAAATGTTCATACAACTGTCATTATACCTTTGAATACTGGGGGTTAGGTAGGTACACAACTCTGACCTTACTCCAGCCCTTCGTCTTTCTTGCGTTTTCCCCCGTTTGTTTTCTGTACCCCCTTCCTCGGAGCACTTGTTTTTCTTCCACTTTAATATTGTTTACTTTTCCACCGGCTACTCTTTTTCATCTTTTCTTCTCTTTTTTAGGAATTATTCTACTACCTACGCTGTACCCCTTCCTTTTGTCCTCCTCCTTACGAATTCATCTTAGCCCGTTACTCTTCTCCTCAACTTCCTTGTTCGTTTCGAACATGGAAATTGAAGAAGCATTAAAGGTTGTTTATCTTCTTCCACTTCATTTTCTTTACCCTATTTCTCTTCTTCTTTATTACTCCGGCCATATTCTTCATCTTTTTATCTTTATATTGTTTCATATCTTCTTTCTTTCATTTTATTCTTCTTCTAATTTCATTGTCCTTTCCATCAGTTCTTCTTTTCCTTCATCCGTAGCCGATGATAAACCAATCCCTTATTTGCGTACTGCTAGCTGCTGTTTTACCAGCTACGAACACCAATTCGACGTTGGCCTTACCTCCCGCTCGCTCACTGGAAAGGTCGTTCCACTATCCCACCATTCTTAAGTTTTTTCATGCATGTTTACCCCGCGGCCATATTAACTTGCCTAACCTATTTTTGACTGGCGCCTGGTTTTCTTGGCACTCCTTCTCGCGCTTTCTCCCTTCACTTCTCTATTTCTGCTCTTCATCTACTTACTTTTCCTTTTCTTCACGCGTTATTTGTATACCCATCAAGCCTTGCCAACGCAAAATATTTGTTTGGCTTATAAAAAGAAATACAAAAAAAAATTGAATTCGATATGTTCACGTAAATTGTTCTCATAGGTCGATTCCTTTAAGAATATTAAAATTACTTCAAACAAACTTGATTGAGAAAATATAAAATGTTAATGCATCCTTCTTCTTTAGGGGTTCTCGGTCGATGACTGCGCAACGAATCAGTCACTACCTCAATCTGAGAGGGCCTTCGCATACTGTTGACACGGCGTGCAGCAGCTCACTTTACGCTTTGGAGCACGCGTACCGAGCCATTCGGACAGGTCGATGCGACAGCGCATTACTGGGTGGTGTCAGCTTGTGCTTAAACTCCATAACATCCCTGCAGTTTGCTCGGTACGTGATGGAGGATGTTAAAGGGTCTGGTAACGGCGTTGTTACAGATTAGGTGTTCTAAGTCCGGAAGGGATGTGTAGGCCGTTTGATGAAGATGCGAATGGTTACTCACGCTCCGAGACCGTTTCCGTTGTCTTTCTGCAAAAAGCTAAGGATGCTCGTCGCATTTACGCACAGGTACTCCCTTTAGTTAGATTGGGGTCTAGTTCTGTCTTGCAGTTGCTGCACACAAAAACAAACAGCGGCGGCTATATCGAGCAAGGGATAACGTTCCCGTCGAGCGAAATGCAAAAGGTCCTCTTACAGGAGACGTACGAGGAATGCCGACTAGATCCCACCGTAGTTGACTTCGTCGAAGCGCACGCCACCGGTACCAAGGTCGGCGATCCCGAGGAAATGGCCGCGCTGGACGAAGTCTTCTGTACCAAACGCGACACACAACTGATCGCCGGCTCCATCAAGTCCTACGTTGGTCATGCTGAGGGTGCGAGCGGAATGTGCTCGCTGGTCAAGGTTCTGATCGGAATGGAGGACGACTGCCTTTTGCCAAACATTCACTACAGCAAACCGCGGCAGAGCATAAAGGCTTTGGTCGAGGGTAGAATGGTGGTCCCTTTGGACAAAATGCCGTGGCCGGAAAACGGCTCGGGAGTGGTTACGGTTAACTGCTTCGGCGTTGGCGGATCGAATGCGCACCTTATCCTCAAGAGGTTCGAGCAACGCAAAGTTAATGGAGGACTGCCCCAAGATGACTTACCGCGGCTGATGTGCGTAAGTGGTCGCGTGCCGGAATCGCTGGAAAGCATCTTCGATGACATCGGTGGTCGTAAGCTGGACGCCGAGTATTGCAGGTTACTTCAAGCGACATTCAAGTAAGTACCCTCCTCAATTTCCCCTAATCTCCATTCAATTCGCCTTGTGAAGCAAAATATACGGTTTTTCACAAACCTTATTACGAAACGAGTTGATTCTACAGAATTTGAGCAGTTTCAAGTAATAATAAAATATCTCAAACATAGATAAAGTTGACTCAAAAATAAATTGTTCTAATGACCACATACCCAGGTACTTAAGACTTTTTTCTAATATTTGGGGTGGTAGATAAAATGTCGCGTCGCGTTTGTTCGAGAACGTTCTAAAATACTCGGGTGCATTCGGAACCGTTCGAGATCTTTCGAGAAAGAGGGGGCGTTTGCTATATAAGCAAATCCAATTGCGTTTCGATCAGTTCCAATTTCGACGTCAAAATAATAAATTGAGTACCTACATGTGAGTGGTTGGAAAGGGAACTACTTGGTGAAATTCAAACAAAATGTCAAGGAACGGTGTAGCACTTTGTGCCACAAAGCTACTTATCGAGGTTTTCTCGAAATCGCAGTCGTTTACAGGGGGATATTTCATACCCCCCAGACCCCCAGATAACACCTACTTTCTCAAATTTTTCGGATTCGTAACTGTCATGACAGTTGTTGGAGAAGGACGACAAAATTTCCATTTCCATACCCCACTGAACATAGAACCGGGGGTTCCTGGTTCTGAGGGGTATGGAACGCCCATCAGCACCCGAAATGTGCCGGAGGTGGTATTCCAGGGCACCAAGCTGGAAATATTGGGATGTTACTCCAGAGAAATCCCGCAGCCATTTCGTGGATTGCTTTTTCTTCAAGAATGGAAGATGCGGGAGGGGGCCGTCACGCTGCAGAACAGTTGCCTGGGACTATGTCTCCGCTACAACCGTCGTCCATGTTGCGACACGCAACAGTTTTAAGAGGGAGGTAGTGTAACGACTATAAATTCTAGAAATCTCAATAGACATCGAAGCGCCAAGAAAGATAAGTCATCAAATATTACATGTGAACATTCTAGAAGGATTGTTGTTTGTTATAAAGGCAAATCGAATTGTGTTTCGAGTCAGTTCCAACATCGATGCGCTTGAGTTATGTTATTACTAGTGAGTGATAAATAATAACTACTGTTATGCATTAATCCCCTTTATGACCAACCTAGTAAACATTGAAACTCCTCTCGCTTCCCTGTATTCCCCCAGCACCATTGTTCGCCGGTGTTCCTCTTCTTCTTCTACCTCCCTCACCACGCTGTCATAGTAGTTTCGGACACTGTGTCCCCCAGTCTGTACGCTGTAGCAGGGACCTGCGGTCCCCATTATTGCTCGCGGTTTTATTATGTTTCCCCCCCTTCTTCTTCCTAAACCAGTAGCTGGCTGTTGTATGTGTTGGCCGCTGACACCAGTGACTCGTCTCCTCCCCAGAATCCCTGCTTTCTGTGATCCCAGTGGTAAGCTTCGACCTTCGTTATTGGTATACTGATCATACCAGAATTCCACTACGTTCCCATGGCCATTAACCTAGCAGAGCATGGTCAGCAGAACACAATCAAACATATTGCATAATTACGTGCCAATTAGGTGCTAATTAAGTGCCCGATTCCCGAATTAAATGCTTCTCTTTTTCTTGTAGATTAATAAACTGCTCCAATATAGACGGTCACTTTCGGTTGCCGAGCATTGATCAAAATTTAATCAGTTAGTCGCTTAGTCCCTTGACCATTGTCTATCTATTACTAAAAACAGAATTGGAAAATTCGAAACCGTTCGCGAGACGGGCGGACAGAAAGTCCAAAATCATGAACTCACTTTTTATTGAAACACAAAACGCAAAAAAAGCAGTACATAATATTTAGTTAAAAATTGGTCTTTTCACAAATTATGATCTTATAATTATGAATACAATAAATAACATAGATCTAAAATATTTTTGTTGCGATCGTTTGTTGGTCGTCTTTTAGTGTTTGTTTGTTACATTTTGACGTTTGTTGGTTAACCGTTATTTAATTATTCAAATTCAAAAATTTGGGCATGTAGTTAGCCCCCCCACTTTTTGAATTTTCAAAATATTTTTATTGCTATGGTTTGTTGGTCGTTTGTTGGTGTTAGTTACACTTTGCCGTTTGTTGGTTGACCGTTATTTAATCATTAAAATTCAAAAATTTGGGCGTGTAGTTAGCCCCCCCCCCCAATTTTGAATTTTCAAAATATTTTTATTGCGATCGTTTGTTGGTCGTTTTTTAGTGTTTGTTAGTTACATTTTGACGTTTGTTGGTTAACCGTTATTTAATTATTCAAATTCAAAAATTTGGGCATGTAGTTAGCACCCCACTTTTTGAATTTTTAAAATATTTTTATTGCTATGGTTTGTTGGTCGTTTGTTGGTGTTAGTTACATTTTGCCGTTTGTTGGTTGACCGTTATTTAATCATTCAAATTCAAAAATTTGGGTGTGTAGTTAACCCCCCCCCCCCACT